TTGAACTTTAGCTGTCCGTCCTGCAACACTTCGAACACCTTCTCAACATGAATAATATGCTCCTCCCAGGTCCTGCTGTACACCAAGATGTCATCAAGGTAAACTATCACAAAATCCTCTATAAAAGGTCGCAACAAATCGTTCATAAGTCTCATAAAAATAGCCGGAGCATTGCACAATCCAAACGACATCACCAACCACTCGAACAGGCCCTGTTTGATCTGGAACGCAGTCTTCCAAGTGTCTTCATCTCGTATCCTCACCTGATGATAGCCAGATTTCAGATCCAACTTCGTGAAGAACCTCGCTCCCTCCAACTGGTCCATAAGGTCATCGATCCATGATAATGGGTAGCGATTCTTTATGGTTATCTTGTTGAGCGTCCAGTAATCCACACACATGCGCCAGCCTCCATCCTTTTTGGGCACCAACAACACTGGTAACCCACAAGACGAACAACTCAGTACAATCACTCCCATCTCCAAGAGCTCCTGAACCTGCTTCTTGATCTCCTCGGACTCATGTACTGATGTGCGGTATATGCCTATGTTTGGCAAGGAACTCTCACTGGTCAACATAATCTCATGCTCTACACCTCGACATAGTGGTAGTCCTGTGATCTCCAAAAATAAGTCCGCATACTTAGCCTTCAACCTGTCAAGATCTCCCTCCTGAAGCTTGCTCAAGGTGGACAAGCATATCCTACTCAGCTGCTCTTCATAAGGCCGAATGAACAATAAAACAAATTTCATGCTCGCATTCACCAACCTCTTAGCCTGAGTCACCGTCACCAAGCTCGTCTCATGTGGAAGAGATGCCGAACGAAAAATGAATTGCTCACCATCCTTGGTGAATGTATACTTTTGGGCCCGCCGATCATATACCGCGTATCTATCCCATAAGTAAGGATTACCTAAAATAACTTAGCAAACATCTAACGGAACCACGTCGCATGTGACCTCGTCAATATACGACTCATGGAGTGCAAACCTGAACGTACACTGGTTCACCACACTCAATCCCGCCTTCTTCTGAATCCACCCTAACGGATAGGGCTTCAGATGCTTCACCGTCTTCAATCCCAGCTTCTATACTAATGCCTTAGATATCAGAGTCTTTTGGCTTCCTGTATCTACAATAGCATCCACCAAACTGATCTTGATCTGCCACTTCAGAACAAAGAGCTGCTCTCCCGGATCATTGTCTTCTTTAATGGCCTGCTTCCCAGCCATAAGGTTGAGACTGCTATTGGGTTTAGTTATCCCGGGAACCTCCTTCGGACCTTGTGTTATCATGTACGCCTTCTTCTCCTCCTTCTTCTTCAACCCTTTTGGCTTCAGATGAGGATACTTATCCTAGCAATGATCAGCCACGTGCCCTGTCTATTTGTAGTGATTGCATGTCAATTCAGTTTTCCCCGAGTCACCCTTCTTTTTCTCGTCCTTAGGTTAAGAGCCACCCGACTTGTTCCCTGATGGTTTGGAGTCTCCCTTCATCTTGTTGCCCTTCTTCTGTCTGTCCTCAATGGCACTGGCCTTCACGCTCGCCTCTACGATGGTTTCGACTGAGAACAGCTTCATCTCCTTCCGGATGTAATCATTCAGACCCGCCATGTACTTCATAAAGATGGAGTATTCGTCCGTTGAGATGTTTAGAACCATCGCCTGCTACTGGAACTCCGTCGTGTACTCTTGAACAATCTGATTATACCTTTGGCGTAAGCCATACCACTTGTACCAACGCTCCTCAAGGAACCCCACTGGATAGAACTGTTTCCTAAGTAGCTCATTTAACTTGTTCCACAACACTACCCTCTTCTCCTGTTTGCAATAGGATTTCCACCACGTCAATGCGTGCCCCGAAAGCTTCAAAGTCACAAACACTATCTTCTCATTGGATGAATATCCGTAGAGAGTGAAGTACATTTCCATACGCTCGATCCAATCATCGAGTTTCTCCATATTGATACTCCCATCATAAACATGAATCTCAACCTTGAAGTCAATCTTCAAATTTTGGTAATTATTCTTACCCCCTTGATATCCAGCGGTCTTAACAATCTCGGTCTCCCCCTCTGAATCAGATCTCTCGCTCTCTTCATCGGACTCGACGAGTTTCTTCTTCCCATTCGAAGAAGATTCCTCCTTTTTGTCCCCTCTGTTGATGAGACTTACGAGTTGGGTGAGAGTAGTCCTGATCGTCTCGATCTGCTTCTCCATGGCATCAAGTCTTACTGAATTATCTGCTTCAGTCATCTTCTCCTTCCTTAATTTCTGGACTCCTTCCAATGAAAGAAGAATCTCGCCAAGCTTCTTGTACTGTGATCGAGTAAGGACCATATACAGGATGCCCCTTCATAGGATCTGATTTGATCTGATACCAACTTGATACGAGTCACCGTGCGAGCACCCTTGATCGCAGAATTATCAAGAGTGGGTTGCGAAGAAAATAACTGAAGAACGCACAAAAGAGTTGATTTGGGCGAAAGAAAATACCTTCTCTAGATTATGAGAATTAATAGATTACAAATCTCTCTCTCACAATCTCTCTAGATCAAGGAACAACCTCCCTGATCTCTTTTGTGATTACAATCTGGTTGGCCAACCCTAGGAAAGTCGTGTTTCTATTTATATCAAATAAAAATCCTAAACAGTGTAGGAAACTAGACCCAGGCCAAAAACTACGTCGCGGTCGACCGCGGCGGTCGATCGCGAAAGTCTCACGGTCGACCGTGGGATTCGCGGTCGACCGGACCAAAAAACCGAGAGCAGTTTTGATTACAGTCATGGCGCGGTCGACCGTGGTGGTCGACCGGAAACGTACGGTCGACCGCGATGGTCGACCGCCTTCAGTTCTAGCTCCTCCTGAGCTTCGTGCATGTTCGCGGTCGACCGCAAAAGCACCAGCAGCCTTCTTCTGTTCGTTCATGCAGTCTTCGACGTTGCTGCCCCCGACGACTTCTTCCACGTCTCCATTCTTAAGATACCATGAGAATCATCTATCCTCACACTTCTGATGAGGATATTTAAGTTCCTTAAGAGAAGATACACCCGTATCAATAAGCATTTAGACATATTCCTATTATTTTTGGTTTGAGGGTTCTTATTGATTCATGTTTGAAGGATGTTGGTCTTCAAAATTTGTTAAATTTTTTGTATGATAACATGATAATAGACACTGATGATGGTCAAACTTTTACTACTTTTACTCTTCATAATACGATTAGAACTTATTTTTAAAGATTATATGATGAATATGCAGCTAGATATGGTGTAAGTACACATCAATCTATAGCTTCTGCTTCTATAAGTTCAAGTTCGGGTAAATGTAAGAGTTTTGATAGAGAATTAATGATAGCTAAGCTAACCGGTGGATCTGGATCATCAATGATTTTTTTTGAAATTGAACAATATTTAACTACATCTTTAGTTAAAAGTCAAAATAATAGTTTCGAGATTTTATAATGATGGAGAGTATATGGAATAGTTTCATATCCTATACTTTTTTATCATGGCTCTTGACTTACTAACAACGTAGATTTCTACGATAATTTCGGAATCTGCCTTCAGCACGTCAGGATATTTGATCGACGATCACAGGACATCGCTAGATCCGTCTACCGTACAGGCGATAATATACCTACAAGATTGGTGGAGGTACGAGACGAGAACTCAAGGTATCAATTGGATGTCTAGTATTGAAGATAAACTTGATGAGTTGGCAATAGGAGATAGAGATAAAAAGTAGAATTGTAGAAATACGCATTACTTTATAATTTTTATTTCTTAGCTAAAAATTTATGATAAATTATTTTGAAAAACGCTGCAAATAACAGTGATATAGATGAGTAAGTGTCAACCTAGTTGGGATGTATTCATCTATTGTAATTCAAAAATTCCAAAATAAATTTGTAATTATTAGTGATTATTGATAAAGAATTTATTTTATTATTTTAATTTTTATGATTTTTTATTTGTAAATTATATAATTATAAATGATTAATAATATGATTGTTTTTATCAAAATTTAGCTTAATTTATTATTATTTACTATTACTTAAAAAAAAAAATTCTAAGAAAAAAGAAAATGACCGCGCCGGATCGGTGCCCGGACTCGGCTCGGGTCAATCGGGTCCAGGTCCGGGTCACGGGTTTTGCCCAGCCTGGACTCGGTTTATTGGGCTGGGTCGGGCTGAGCCGGGCCGACTCAGCCCGGTTGGACATGCCTAGATGCAAGTTATTGTGAACAACTTCAACTAACAAAGTGAAATAGAACTCTTTCACATTTGAGAAAACATTAGGTTTCCCTCGAGGGTAAATATTTGAAAACTTTTAGTATATATCTGTTCATCTATTCCCATATTGAGAAAAAGAATTTCTTTATAATAATATAGAGACATCAATGAATCTATCAAATTGAGATCAATATGAAAATACCATTTCTCGCTTATTCCATAAAGAACAAAGACAGAAATGAAGTACCTTAAAAGTGTAGCAACCAAATCAGTTTCAAGTGTGTAGGTAAGCCGCTTGTTTAGTCCCACATCAAAAAAACATAGTCAATTATGGTTGTTTAAAGCACTGCTCCCAGTAGCCCTCCTTGCAATCTTACTTGAACATGATTTGTTCTATAGGCTCGTACAACTGTATCCTTGAATTCTAAGGGGAGGTTGTCTGACAGACACTTTGGATGAAAAAATGATAATTTTGGAATTTTAGGGGATTCCAAATTTTAGGATGAAAAAGTGATAAATTTTTCACAAATTTTTTTGGCATTTGAGTGAGATTCCAAATTTTAGGATAAAAAAGTGATAATTTTTTGTTATTTGGATTCATAGTTTGTGTTTGATTTCAATTTTTTTGGCATATTGAATTCTAAAATTGCAAAAAACAACCCATTTTTAGAATTTGTAAAATCCTATCAAATGGAGAGGATTCGGTGTATTATATCTGACACCCCACTCCACGTTAGAGCCTACTTCTCCTTTTCTTTAACTAGGTTTCGGAAAGGGAGCTTTATTTTCACTGCTTCCTCTAATTTTTCCCGTCCTCTTTTTTACCCGCCATCTCCAGTTCCCACTCCAATATTCTATCACTCTTCTTCTCAAATCGCTAAATTTCTGGTCAAATTCAGATCTAAGATGGAGGGTGGCTAGGATTCTTAGTATAACTTTGGTTTGGAAGATGAGGTGGAGGTGAAAGCTTCAATTTGGGGTTATCTTGGCAATCTTGTTGTTAGAGGCCTTCATCTAAAACTCTTGAAATCCGAAGGTAACTCTCACCTCCTCTCTTTTTGATAAAACTTTCGAAAGCTTTGGACGGAGTGAAATTGATTATGATTTCGAAAGCTTTGAATTACAAGCATTGGTTATTGATTTGGTACTCTAATGTTATTTTTAGAAGTGAGTTTGTTGTGTGATGTGACTCTCCTCAACTCATTCATTTGATTAAAGTTTGTTGTATGATGTTACTCTTCAGGTAGCTTCTATGATGTTATTAACACTTCAAATTCATGAGCTAGGGATGGCTCGGGTTAGCTTCTCATGAATGCTACTTTTGTATGCTATTTTTTGGTGTTAAATTAGCTTGGGTTAGCTTCGAATTATATTTGCGGTGTTAATGGCTTATAATCTGCGGTGATAAAGTAGCTTGGGTTAGCTTCTCATGAATGACATATTAAGTTATTTTCATGCAAGTTTTGAGTCATTAATGACCCATTTGTTGGTTTTGGATTAATACTAATAGGTGATGATGTTTAAGCTCTTGTTAGTTGTGGGGTTAAAGATTTGCTTTAAAGGGTCTCAAATTGTTTTCTTCACTAATTAGATTCAAGAAAAACTCGCCTCTGTTGGGGAAAATTGAGCTTAACTTGACTAGTAGATTACTTGTTGGATTCACTTTTCACATTTAAATGGTCATCTTCATTTACTACGCAAACATAAAATTTGCACAAGTAGATGGTTTATATTGTCCTCTGAAGAAGCCTAGTGCTATTTTTATATTTATAGTCCTAATTCTGTATTTGGTCAATTAATGATATGTTTAGCATGTTATGAAACCATCTATTTTTTTATTACAGCTCTTTTTTAATTGTTTTAGTTTGCGTGAAAATCAAGTTGAACATGTATATATTTCACTTCCATGTAGATGAACGACATTGATGAAGAAATATTAATTAAGGTGACTTCTAATGCTACTATCTCCACCATTTGTTGGCAAGCACTAAATAAAGTGTCGCCAGATATTACCAATAACCCGTTGTACTATCCATATTTCAAGGTAATCACTAAGATAATATAACTACTTATAATACAACACTTGATTTTTTCCTTTCTATTATTAATAACTGTTTAATACATCATATAAGATTGCATTAGTATGATAGATGGAACCCATATCGACGCCATACTTCCCGCTAGACTTCTTGCACGTTTTAGAGGTCGTAAATGTGTAACTCAAAATATTCTAGATGCATGCACTCCCCATAAGATATTTTCGTATGTTCTAACTTGATGGGATGGATCTGCAAATGATTATAGAGTTTTGAAAGATGGTAATCAATCAATCAAATAAATGAATGTCTATTTAATTAGATACACTAACTCCAATCGTGGGGAAAGAATTTCCTTCTCATATCACAAGAATGTCATGAACCATGTCAAGTACTTGAAGGGTAAGTTTTTTTATATGCGCACTGTCATGCATATGAGTGGGGCTGGTTATGATCCACAAACTAAGATTATTACCATAGATCCAGATTGTTTTGATAGGTGGATGATAGAGTATAAATGATAACCAAAAGTTACAAGTGTACAACTATCAAGTTATAATATAAAAAGTTATCAATCCCACGAGGAAGGTGTTGTAGGTATTAATCTAAAATTGGTTCTTATGTTGTGTGTAACAAATTAGGAGTGCTAAAAGTGTGTGATTGTGGAGAGATATGAGGAGTGGTTGTGAACATATGCAAATAAAAATAAAATGAGGTTGAGAGGAGAGAAGGAAATTAAAGAAAATAAAGAGGAAAGTAAATAATGAAAAATCAAGAACAAAGAGAAAGTTCAAGAAAGTAAAGATGGATGATTCAATTAAAGATATGAGGAATTTAGAATTGAATCCACTAGCTAATTTTAATTATAAATTTTAACCATTCTCTTTGTATCACATTTTACTTTAGATTAATTAAGCATAGACTATCAAACCACTTAAGGAAAGCATGACCTATCAAATTATCATCTAAAAAAAATTAACATTCATGAAAATAACAACAACTGGATAGTAACTCTAGAATTCATAAGCATAACCTATCAAACCACTCAATATAAGCATAGATTATCAAATTCTTCTTCTACAAATTAGTTCTCTATTTGATTATCCCACACATAATTATTTTAAGCGTAAGAGAATTATTCATAAACTATAAAAGAAATTAGGCTAGTTTCATACAATTCTAGAATTCATACAAGAATTAGTTTCACATCTTAGGAAATGAAAACAAGAAATGAAATCTTTACTAGACAAGAATAAAAGAAAAAAGCGAAGATAAAAACTGACTACAAAGAAGAGAAATGAGAATAAAAAAATTTACACTATGAATATAAAAATAAATCTAACTAAGTTGTACAAGAAAAGAACATAAATAAAAATCTAGATTATGCGAGAAAATAAATCTATTCCACAAACTAAAAGTGCAAGACAATAAAAAATAAATAAAGACAAGAATGTAAATATACTCTACAAGGCGTTGATATAAATCTAAACTACTAAAGCAAGAAGAAAAGAAATTACTACAAAAGAAATAAAAATAAAAGAGAGAATTTATATTACACGAGGGTTTTAGCTGTTGGCCTCATTGTAGGCATCGAAAATTGCCTATAGGTCTCCACGAATAGCTCAGTGTTAAGGAACGACAATGAACGTCACCATCTGGTTCACAGGAGTTCAATTGACGTCGGTGAACGTTTGAAGTGAATCGACGAACTACGTGAACTGACAGAATTTCGGAATAACGAAGGCACAGGCTAATCGAGAGCCCCGCGATGTTTACAAAAAGAACAACGCCTTTCGTGTCTCGTTCGTTCTACAGATAATCCAACCATCGGGGCTAATAGAACTCTTCGTCAGAATTCCAACACAATTCGAATCACTAAAATCCGAGTTCGGATGAAGAATTTACAGCGGGGTGTCCTAGATTTTTGGGGACGCCCCAGGGGTGTCCTAGATTTTTGGGGACGCCCCAGGGGTGTCCTAGATTTTTGGGGACGCTCCAGGGGTGTTGCCTATAAATAGAAGCCTTAGGCCTCACTTTTTCAGGATCTGGAATTCTCGTGCCTCGGCGAAGCCCTGCCGGATTGAAGACTTAAAGTGCACAGATTTCAAGAGAGGAGGAGGAGGGATCGGATCTAGTTCTTCAACGCAAGAGAGTTCTTCGTCAGATCTACATCACCCGCATCCGTTCCTTAGCATTACCCCTCGTCGGTAATCCTAAGAAGAGCAAATATCTTGCTTTATCCGAGATAGGCGCTTCAAGTTTCTAGATCTCCTCGCGGATCGACGAAGCTCTGCCTAATTTTTCAGCAATCAGATCTGATCGACGGTGGTCCACGGATAAACCCCGGCATAGGCAAAGACACCCACGCAAGCAGAAGACCGAAGAACGATCTCTGCGTTTGACCAGCAAGCCTCTCCTGGCAAGCGCAGGAGTGCCTCCTCCTCCAGATCCGCCTCTCCTGGCAAGTGCAGGAGTGCCTCCTCCTCCAGAAAGATCTGCTGGTCTTCAGATCTGAAGATCCAAGAAGACGATCTCTCCGCCGCTGTTGCTGTTGCACCTTGCAATGATCCACCGGCGTTCAATGAAGCCAAATTTGCAGATCTGAACTCCTTCACGATTAAGGAGTCGACTGCTGAAGGCGCGCCAACTCTATCAAAGAGAGCACGTCAAAGGAAACGACAACGCCTCGCGCGCTAATTTACCAAGGCTTTGGATCAGATGGATGGTCTCCATTACCAAGCAGATCTGGAGCTCAGAAAGCGCCAAGTGGCTAATCTGTCGCCACGACCAGCATCGGAATCCTCCTCTCGATCTCCAATTAACGGATGGGTTCGTGTCCAAAGAACCCGTTCTCTCGAGGAGCGAATCCAGAAGTGTCGCGCCTTACTTGTGCATGCCCGGACCCTTGTGCGAAAAGCACAGGAAATGCAAAAGGAAGAGGCAGTTAAGAGATCGCCGAGATCCAAACAAGTTTGGGTGCCAAAAGCCAAATCAGCGCCTAAGGCAAAAGCAGGCGACGTTGCTCTCCGGCCTTCGTCAACTTCAGATCCCGAACCTCCGTTAAAGCCCTACCGCAGCGTGGATTTCCCCAAGTTTAGGATTCCTCTGAAGGATCGTATCGGTGCTCTACCCGAGAATCGAGGAAAAGCGCTTGTTAAGGAAAGCTGGAGATCGTTGAAGGAGCTTCGAGCCAACATCCGGACTGGGGGTCGTACGCGACCTCCTAACAAATGGATTTCTGCAACGGCCCGCTTGGCGGTGCGTGCAAAAAATTAGGAGCCCGTTAAGGTTTCACCCTCACAAAGGTGTGATTCCAAACGTGCGACTCCTGTAGACGCCAAGAAGGCGATGTTTACTCAGATGAAAACGCGTCAGACAGAAGAATGCGTTATACCTGAGAATCCATGTGAGCAGCCGATAGGTTACTCCGACCGCAACGTCGATGAGTTGTACTATCAGGCTGGGGGTACGAATAAATCTCGAAAGAGAAGTACCCGGAAAGCGGACTCTTACTGTCTGTATATCAAAATTATCAGGGCAGTATTATCAACGTGTAGCTGTCCCAAGACCGCTCCGCAGAGGGTCTCGATATTCGAAAGGATCTCCGATGGAACGACGAAGCCCAAATCAAGGCGTTTCCACCAAAGAGGATCGGTTGCTCGAGATGATGAATTCCCAGAAGTTACCATCAACATGGTCAACAAGGGAAAATCTCCAATTGTTTCAAGTGGTTCCGACCCTAATTTCTCTCCAGGAAGCAGAGTCAATTCGGGAATAGCTCAGCTTCAGCTAGAAGCCGTCGGATATAACGATTACCATGGGATCCATGAAGGAATCCATTCCGATGACGAACTCTCAGATTCTTATTCCGCACTCGCCTCCGACGATACAACGTCTAGCATAGGGCAAGCTCGAGAAGTGTTCATGGTCAACACCGAGCAAATAGCCAAAATCATTGAGGATGCTCTAGCCAAGCAGAAAGAAGCATTCAAAATCGAAATGGAAATGGCTATGCAGGAGATGAGACAAATGCACGACCAACAAATCCGAGCTTTGTCAAATCAGCTAGTTGAATCCAGCCGTCGCACCCAGAACGCCGCAGTTGACAGCGATCCGAAAGTGGACGAAATCATCATGGCCGACGCACCGCCCAAAAATACTGGGGGTGGCCCCACTAAAAATAACGACGCTGGGGGTGGACCCACCAATGATGATAACACTGGGGGTGGCCGTATTATTCCTCTCGAAAATTGTCCAAAACAGGATATAGATGAGGCCGAAAAGATGAAGGATCT